ATAGAAATTACAGGGGTCCCTCTTGTTCTAGTCCCCAGCAGACCAGACCAAAAGGGGAGGTCACTCATGCTAAAATACCAAATCATTAAACTAAAAATTAAGGCCCTTATCTTAATTTTTTAAATTGACACAGCACGAGTTTCTCACAGATAACAGAAATTTACTGAGCTTTGTAAAAATATGTTTTGGAACCAGCAGTTGGCATAATGGCTATGTTGCTGGACTCCCATGTAGCCGACCGTGGTTCGAGTCCCGGACCCAGTGGCTTAAACTCACACCGGGCGTGTATGCATGCGTGCCCAAGATCCCGAGAGGAGAATAGAGGAGAAGGGATTGCGGCGTGGCCATCCCCCCTGGGGGGTGATTTCTCGCTTTCTGTCTCTCTGTCTTTCTCTGTCTTTATAGCAAGCGCACATGCCCTAGAGCAAAAACCTCTAAAAAAATCTGTTTCATCAATTCCAGAATAAAACATATAAAAGCACAATATTAAGTTTCCTCTCCTTTAAAAGTGCACCAGCCATCTACCTCTCTGGAAATTTTTGAACAACCAGCTCCATAACAGATCTGGGACCTACCTTCAATCTCTGGGTCCCTCTGTCTACACAAATTTAAGTGGTTTAAAATAGCCCTCCCTTTGTTCTGCAGAATGATTTAGACCTCAGTCTGTTTCATATGCAAATAATATAAAAATCCCATGAAATAGTCTTTACTACTAAAAGAAAAACAACTTCCCATAGTTAAATTCATACTGCCCCAAACCAATTCAAACAGCAGGCTCCGGATTCTCTAGAATTACAGACAAGCACCACCACATCCAGCCTTCAGGTTGGACCACAGTCACACCGGGGCCTCCCGTGTGTCCCGGCCCTCAGAGCACAGCATCCTGGCAGCACAGCCCACTGGGACTGGCCCACGGTCAGCTTCGACCTTCTGCTTCCTGAGCACAGGCATGACTGGATGTCCTCACACCCACACCCCAGGGGGCTGCATCCAGAGAAGGGGGCAGGGCTGCCGGGTTGTCAGGACTCACCTCAGAGGTTCTTCCCACCGGGGTCTGCGACCTCAGGAGGAGCAGCAGGGAGGGCTCAGGGACAGGGGTGGGGCCCTGTGGGCATCTCTGCCTTAAAGTTTCTCAGGGGAGTAATGGCAATTGGGTCCCTGAGTCTGTGCCAAGCAGGGGGTCAAGCTCCCCTGGAGGGGCTCCAAAGAGGAAGAATTGCTGAGGGGTACAGAGGACTCTTCAGGCCCACCCACTGTGGAGCAGATGGTCATGGACACATCTCCTGACTTAAGCATGAAGTAAGGGAAAAGAGTCCCAGAGAAGGAAGCCGGTGGGAAAGAGAACATGTGGGACCCGTCAGTCATGTTGTAGAAGGAGACGTCCCCCTCACTGTAGTCCATGAAAACTCCCACCCTGTGGGGAGGCTGCCTAAGGGACAGCCGAGATCGTGGTTTAGTGTGGGCATAATATCTACTTCTATCCCTCCGCACAACCCAATGCTTAGTGAGCCCAGGACCGTTTGGCTGATCTTTCCCATCTTCCACATAGACCCCCAGAGCCCACATAGTACTCTCTGCATTCCTGATCTCCACCTCCCAGTAACAGCATCCCGATGTGATCTCCTCATGGCCCCGCACGCCACAGAAACCACCTGAGCCCACACAGGTGTCTTTCCAGGTCACACTTGTCCTTTCATGAGAGACGGCGAGGTTGGGATTGGCACGAAGTGGGTTCAAAGTGACAGCCACTGCAGAGAGAGTGACCAAGAGTTATGCAAGACCCTCCCTCACCCTGTAACAAGGACACAGGGCCACCACCTCCCTCAGAGCCATTAGCTACATAGCAGAGCCCTGAGCCCCTAAGAAAAGAGCCTTGTGGATCATGTGATTCAATCCATGGCCCTCCAAACAGAAGGAACCAAGGGACTGATTTAGGAGTTAAGTACGTCACAGAGCCTTGAGGACAGCACGGGAGCTGAAGGACAGCTATTTACCATCTGACATTAGCCACAACCACCAGCCCCAGCATGTGACTGTCGTTCTCGACTTCATGCTCATCCAATTCTGGGTGGATGGTTCCTACCTACCACCAAAGATGGTTCCAGCATCTATGTCACCACAGAGAACCGAAGGAGAAGCCAGGAACCATGAGGGCAGGAAGGGGGAAACCCAGAAAGGACACGAGTCCCTCACAGGCCTGGAACTGCTCCTTCCGCCAGTCTACAAAAGAACCACACATTTCATATCAGGGGTTTGCAGGCAAAAACCACAGCATCGGAACCTGGACTCTGAAACAAAATGATCCTGGAAGCTTTCAATCACTTTGGACAATTCCTGCAGAAGGCAGATAAGTAGGTATAATATTTTGGGCTCTCCCATAGCTATAGGAATGTTTTTGCTCCCACCAGGCCGTGAAAAGGGGAAAAGAAGCCACTAATGTCTTCCTTGCCCCTGTACTTTGAACTTTCCTTTCTCCCATCCTAGAAACCTCTTCATTGTCATTTTGTTTTAAGGTTTGTACCATAGGGTGTGTGCACTCACAATAGAGAGACAGTGAGAAGAAAAGTGAGAAATCACCTCCCAGGGGGATGGCACAACTAAATCCCTTCTCCTCCATTCTCCTTTTGGAGATGCATACATGCACACCCAGGAAGATCTTCAAGCCACCAAGTTCAGGACACCAACCGTGGTTAACCCTGTGGGAACCCAGGACTTCAACCACCACGCCCCCTGCTGGCCTTTGCATTGCCTCTTAGCTAGGCAACATTCACAGGAGTTACAGGGAGAAGTGTGAGCACACTCAGCTAATGTATTTATTATGTGCACACACACATCCACACAAGGACACACACTACATGCTTCAGTCTTCCCATGAAGGCTAAGCCATAAAGCTTAATACCCAGAGGGGTCAGCAGATGGCATAGTGGTTACATCACTGGATTCCCAAATGGCCAACTGCTGTCCAAGTCCTGGACCTGGTGGCTTAAAAATCACACCGGGTGCATGTACGTGCCTGTCCAAGATCCCAGGAGGAGAATGGAAGACAAGGGATTGTGGTGTTGCCATCCCCACCAGGGAGGTGATTTCTCATTTTCTCTCTCACTGTGTCTCTCTGTCTATGCTCTGGTGAACGTACACACCCTATGGCAAAAGCCTCTAAAGGAAAACAGAAAGAAGTTGGACCAGCTGACAGCATGGTAATTAGGGCAGCTGGGTCCTACATGGCCAAGGGTGCAAGTGATTTCTCCCTTTCCCTCTCTCTCTGTCTGTCTCTCTTTAGCGAGTATACATGCCTAATAGCAAAACTTAAAAATAAAATAAAATAAAAAGATAAATGAGTAAATAAATAAGTAGAAGCCTTTACTGAACTCTCCCAAGGTGATATCATGGTTACATTTCTTGTACCTGGGGACCCTCTCAGCACTCCCAGCTCACACCCCTTTTGCTGCCATGTGGTCTCGTCCTACACTCCAGGTCACCCAGCCACTACAGAGCCGGTCTCAGTCCTGCTATTTCCTTGTCATCTCCTACCCTCAACCCCTTATACTCTTTTTTCCCCTCTCCATCCTTTCTCTAGTCAGTAATTTTAATTTCCCTACTTTTTTTTCCTTTGTAATTTTCACACCTCACTCCAAAGAAACCCAACCAAGAGCTGAGCATTCAGGCAAAACAGAATTCCCCTAAAAGGAGAGATAACAGCTGTAAAAAATTACAGACCCACCCCAAGGCCATAAACATCCTAAATGCCTAGGACCCCAGATTCTGAAGAACTGATTCCTCAGCAACCAGGGAGGCTTAGAGGAAGACACTCATCTTGAACAGAAAGTCAGAAAAAAAAAAAAAGAGAGAGAGAGAGAGAGAGAGAGAGGACTAATATCCCAGAGGACTGGGAAGAAATGAAAAACCAAAACTAGATACAAAAACATAAGACTTTCAGGGTAGGGAAGACCCAGAAGTGAGGATCCCTTAAGTGAGACCTGCATCCTAAGCAGTCGAATATAATTTCTAATACTTTCTGGGAACTCCTGATCTGATGTAAAATCATTACTCTCACACTGAACTCTCCTCACAGCAGGACTCTCCATTGTCACTGCACCAACAAGAAGTGGCACTTGGGGCCAGCAAGTGACATGGTGGTTAGGGCAGTTGGATCCCACGGGGCCAACTTTGAGGTTCACGGCCTGGACCCAGTGGCTTGAAAAACACACTGGGTGCATGTGTGACCTTGCCTAAACTGTGAGAGAAGAATAGCAGAGAAGGGATTGTGAGGTGCCCATCCCCAATCCCACCAATACCCTGTAGCCCCACTGGGTTGTGCTTTCTCTATCTCTGTCTGTATCCAGTGAGTGCACATGCCGTATTGCAAAAATGCTTTAAAAACAAAGAAGTTGCAGTTGAACGAGGCAGAGCCACGCTGCCTACAGTCTCTGGTAGAGGAGAGCAAGGACCTGAGCCACCCTAGTCCAGAGATCCTGAGGGAGAAGAGCAGGGCCACGGTGGGTAGGGAAGGCCAGAGGAGACTTCAGTCACTTACCGCCGTACAGCTGGGCCTTCCTCCAGGCTGAAAGGGAACACAGCTGGTGAGACCTCGGCCAGGATGAGGCCTGCAGAGTGAATGTACCGGCCCTCGCTCCCCATTGTTTAAAGCTAAGACTATCTATCTGAGGAGAGAGGCTGGAAAGGAAGGGCCCCTGCAATGTGCAAGGAGAGAGGGGGTGGTGGGACCCTCCCTGGACACAGCTCAGGACGCCCACATCACAGACAGCTCCACCCTGTCCTGCTGCTGCCGTGTGTGCCTCTAGGCAAGTCACTTGGCTGCTCTGGGCCTCAAAAACTGGCTATCTACATTTGATTTTGCTGCTAAGACTCAAACATTAAACTATGTGTGAAAATAGTTTAGGCAATAAAACATAAATTACATTCCCCAAATTCTTACAAGTTCTTCATAAATAGAAGAAAGCATTTCTATGCACCAGCCTTTTTCTCGCAAAGATCTGTCTGGAAGATAACTCAAAAGGGGAAATGATTTAAGGACAGGAATGTACGGCAAGCTCTGGGGTAAAGCGGCCGCTCTCCCAGCTGTCCTAGAGAGGAGCGTCACTATCCCAGGGAGCATCAGCTCGGCCTCTCACACTCCACCCCAGCCAGCACCCAGTCCCCGCCCCGTCATGTTTTAATTAGCACCTTCAGGAGCTGGAAGAGGAATGACTCTCCCTGAAAGGTGTTTTGCGGAGAGGAGGTGAGGGGTCACACTCCTGAACTGGATGACGCCACTTATTTACACAGCTCATTTAAGGAAATATCATCAGAGCATCTGGCTTTTAGTTTCCAGGTGCGGACCAGAACTTGAATGGACTAAAGGCTAGAAAACTGTCAATATGTGGATAGGTCAGGCTCAGATGAGGAAACCTGAGTGTACAGTAGGTCAGGGCTCACCATCACCCCCAGGTCCCCAAGCAGGAGCAGCGGCCCAGATGTGGAGAGCCATGGAGCAGGGTCACCCCCACCAGCTTCCACTTCTGCTCCCGGGGTGGAGGGACAGGGACCACACGGCTGAGCCCAGACAGAAACAAGGACAGGGGACCTGGGCACAGGTGGGTGAGAAACGAGGACACCTGGAGGGTCACTCACCAGCCAGGTAAGCTGCTTTCCTCTCCCCTGAAAGGAACACACAGGACAAGGTGAGCTGGGATCAGAGCATCTGCTGAGAAGGGGACACCGGGAGGGCGGGAGGGGATGCAGGACTTACTGAGGGTGGCCTGGAGTTCACCTGAAAGAGAGGGAAAAGGAAATATGAACTTCCGGTCCAGCAGATGTGAAGGCTAAGGCAGCTGGACCCACAAGGCCAACAGAGCAGTTTGAATCCCAGACCTGGCAGATGGAGAAATACACCAGGCACATGTATGTGCATGCCCAAAATCCCAAAAGGAGAATGGAGAAAGAATTGTAATGTGGTTATTGCCCCTGGGGGGTGATTTCTCTCTGTTCTTCTCTGTTTCTGTGTGTGTCTCTGTCCCTCTTTAGTAATTGCATGAACCCTATGGCAAAAAATAAAAAAAAAAAAGAAAGAAAGAAAGAAAAAAAGAAAAGAAAAGAAAAAAGAAAAGAAAAGAAAAGAAAAAAGAAAGAAAGATGAACTTCTATCCCTAAGAAAAGCAAAGACTGCCTGGAGAACTCCCATCACAGAGCTTTGCTGTCCTACAAGACGTTCTAGTTCCACTCCCCCCCGAGCCTCCCCAGCCCAGCTGTACTTGGGGATCCCCTCAGCCCTCAGCTCCAGGCCAGGGAAGCTCTGGACCCAGAACCCTAGTATTGTTCCTTGTCCCTCTCAGCACCAGATGCTGCACTTGCCCCGCCCAGCCTCCCCCTGCCTTACCGCTGGCCTTCAGAGCCTCCTCTTTGCCTGCTGGGCCTCCTCCTTTTCCAACTGCACCCTCTTCCGTTCCCGCTTCCTCTGCAACTTTGTGGAATGTTCTCTCTTCAGGAAACAGCCAGCCCCACAGAGCAGGAGCCCCAGCACAGGCAGGCTCA